TAACTGCGTGCACACACACACACACACACACACACACACACACACACACACATTTATGCATACAAACTTTTTTGGGTTTTGAGTTGTTTTGTTGTTGTTGTTGTTGTTGTTGTTGTTTTTCAAGACAGGGTTTCTCTGTAGCCTTGACTGTTGTGGGACTTGATCTATAGACCAGGCTGGCTTTCAGGCTGGCCTTAAACTTACAAAGATCTACCCACCTCTATGAGTGCTGGGATTAGAAGTATGGGCCACAACTTCCCAGCTATGCATACATTTAAAGACTGTCTCCTGTAGCTCAGGTTAGCCTTGATCTTTTATTATTATTATTATTATTATTATTATTATTATTATTATTATTATTATTATTATTAGAAACAAGCTTGTTGTACATGTCAATCCCAGTTTCCTCTCTGTCCCCTCTTCCCTTGCCCCTCTCGAACTCACAGAGATCCTCCTGCCTCTGCCTCCCAAGTGCTGGGATTAAAGGTGTGCGCCACCAATGCCCAGCCTAGCCTTGATCTTGTTATAAACGTGACCTTGTAATCTCCAGAGGACAGAATTACAAATGTGCTCCACCACACCTAGTTAGGTAGCACTAGGGATTGAACCAAGTTTTATACACAGGAAGAGAAATCTCTACCAACCGAGCTATCCACACCTACTTTTGCTATTTGTCCATTAAATGTCCTCATTATGTTTTACAAAGTCAAAACTTACTGTGGACATTATGGGAGAAGAACGTGTAATTCCTACAAATCATTTTTGAAATGTAGCTAGACAAGTCATGAATAAAGCACATAATACATCAGCATCTGTCATGTGGGAGGCTGGAAAGAGGAATTATAAATATTTCTTATTCTCAGTGACCTTACAATTATCTGTACTTGTTGCCTTTTCTATTCAGAATTTAAATATAATAAATTCAGTAAATTATCTATTTAAAAATGAAAACTTTGCTGGGCACAAGCCTTTAGTCCCAGAATTTGAGAGGCAGAGGAAGGCGGATCTGTGAGTTCAAAACAAACAAACAAAAAGAATACTTTCCAAGGGTTTGTTGGTAAAGAGAACTGAGCTTTAAACTCTACCATCTTCTGTTGTCTGGGCATTCATTGAGAAATTAAAACATGCACCTATCACATACGTGCTGAATAAATATAACTTATTAATACCTTAAAAAACAAAACAAAACAAACAAACAAAAGACAGAACACCTTTAATCTAAACACTCAGGACAATGGAGGATCTCTATGAATTCAAAGCCAGCCTAGGCTACAGAGCAAATTGTAGGCCAGCCAGGGCTACATAGTGAGACACTGTCTCCAAAAAAAGAAGTGAAGTTTTATCTGCATCAACAAGCTTCCTGCCAGGTGTTAGATACAGGGAGTGGAGCAGGACTGTGGTATTACTGATGACATGGCTTGTAAAGGCCAAAAGATCCAAGTACAGTTGGCTAGAGAAGTCCTATGGTAACTGTGAACAGCCACAGAGACAAGTGTAATCTGAGACAGAGAAACAAGGAACTAATCTAACTTAGGGTTGGTATCAATAAAAACCTACATGTTCTAAAAAACCCTGCTGGGCTGACTAACAAAAAAAAAACAAAAAAAAACAAAAAACAAACAAACAAACAAACAAACAAAAAAAAAACAAAAAACAAACAAACAAACAAACAAACAAAAAACCGTTATTTTATAGTCCCGTTATGACTTACTTAAGAGAAAGTCATTAAGATTATTTCTGCTTGAGAAATCTAGTAATTCACTAAATTGACTGAAGTTGGAAAATGGTTAAAATAAGCAGGTATTTTAAATGATCTATAATGAAACAATGAAAAATCTTTCTTTTCTTAATTGAGAATCGTGTAACTATAACAAAGATTCTGTTTTGGGAAAACTGGTTTTAAATTTTTTTTCTAAGCATAAAACACATGAAACTTCATTTACAAACAAGCAAACACCCTGTCTCTGGTCTTCACACTTGAGTCTCTTTCAATATTTTCAAAAACGGTGAAGAAGTGTCACCGTTTTACTATCTATCTGACTGTAGCAAAGTTCTCAAATCCTTTTTCACAAGCCCTAAAACATTAGGAAAGCAGGTGAAATGGGCTTTCTCATGCAAAGGACCGGCCACAGTGCTACAACAGGAGGTGCCAAGCCAACACAAACTGCATTCCTATTTTCACCAATTAAAACTGTTGTACTGGACAAGATTTGAACTTTTTCCAACATCAACACTTTAACTTCCTTCTTTTTCCAAACTGTGCCCAAAATCCACTACTTTTTGCCTTTAGGTATTATCAGACACAGAAAGACATCAGTAGCATGAATAGGGTGACTTCCCATCTTTCACAAAGTTATCAATTTGTATTCCTAATCACTTGTCCAAAGGCAACCTATTTCCTCTACAATCATATACTTTAGGCACCAAATCTATGTAGATTTTTTTCCCTACATGTACACCTACAATTCAATTCAGACAATTATAGGCTGCAATCCCCCCCCCCCACTTCAGTTGCCAATTTCAAATTCCAGGTCTCATCAATACTTCTGATCAACTGGTAATTAACTGAGGAATCCTACAACCCTGTCCTGTCCCCAAGTCCAGTAACTCAGTGTGATGGCTCACAAGCTATGGGAAACAAAATCATCAGTTTATTTTAGCAACTATTTAAAAGGACAGGGATGAGTAGCCCGATGATGCACCCACCAACCCAGAGTCCACGGGAACTACTGGTTAAGTTTTTATTGTTGTTGTTAATTTAATTTTATATGCATAGATGTTTTGTCTGAATATATGTCTGTGCACCCCACTAAACTGGAGTTAAAGATGGTTGTTTGCTGCCACGTGGGCACTGGGAATTAAACCTGGTCCTCTGAAAGAACAGTCAGTACTCTTAACCACTGAGCCATCCCTCTCGTCCCTGGAGTTTTGTTGTTTTAGTATTTATTTTGAATTTATGTGCATGAGTGCTTTCCCTGTCTGTATGTAAGCACACTACATGCATGTCAGGGGTTTGTGGAGGCCAAAAGAGGGCACCGGATCCCCTAGAGTCAGAGTTATGGAGGGCCATAAGCGAGTACTGGATCCCCTAGAATCAGAGTTATGGAGGGCCATAAGCGAGAACTGAATCCCCTAGAATCAGAGTTATGGAGGGCCATAAGCGAGTACTGGATCCCCTAGAATCAGAGTTATGGAGGGCCATAAGCGAGTACTGGATCTCCTAGAATCAAGAGTTATGGAGGGCCATAAGCAAGTACTGGATCCCCTAGAATCAGAGTTATGGGGGGCCATAAGGGAGTACTGGATCCCCTAGAATCAGAGTTATGGGGGGCCATAAGAGAGTACTGGATCCCCTAGAATCAGAGTTATGGAGGGCCATAAGAGAGTACTGGATCCCCTAGAATCAGAGTTTTGGAGGGCCGTAAGAGAGTACTGGGTACTGGGTCCCCTAAACTGCAGTTAACAGACAGTTGTGAGCTGCCACATGGGTGCTCCAAAAGAGCAGCAAATACTCTTAACTGCTGAGTCATTCCCACAACTCCAAAGTAGACAAGAATAACTAAATCACTGACTACTACTGGTCATTAACTTAGTCTATAGTCTCTTGCCCAGTCTTGTGGTCATCAATTGAGACTAACAACCTACTATTCACAATTGGAGTCTCTGATAACCTGCCTTTATCCTGGAACTATGTGGGGGCTTTTCAGCTAGCAGAAAAATTCATTAATGTAACAACAAAACAAGAAGATGAAACCCCTTTACCAATATACAGACATCAAGGGTTTTTGGAAGCTCTAAGAACTAGGACTACGTCAAATTTTATAATTAAAGATGTTCTAGCCAGACATAGTGATACTCCCATGATTCCAGCACTTGAGATGTGGAGGCAGGAAGAGAGGGAGCTCAAAGCTAGCCTGTG